TATGGAAGCCAAATGCAGACGCTGCCACCAGCGCTTGCGTTATTCCTAAGGACAGAGGACAGTGAAGTGGCCTGCTCTTTCCGGAGCGCTCCCCGAGGGTCGGCTGCGGGCCGGGCACGTTCCGTGTCATTGGCCGTAGACGGGACAGCCTTCGAAGGCGATCCGAGCGGACCAGGGAGGCTCCCCACGCTGCACGACTTTGCCCGCGGGGCCCCACAAGGCTCGGCGCGCATCCTGAAACCCCGCCGAGCAGAGAGCGCTGTCTGGGCTGACGTCACAGTTTACCACGTGCTCTTTGGCGGGTCAACTGCCCAGGGAGCAGAGCTGCGGGCCCGGCCGGAAAAGGGGGCGCCCTGACGTCACCGTGGGGCCGTCTGCCTTCGGAGCTTTCCAGTGGGCAGTAGAGACTTACGTCCCGACCACACCTCCCATTCACTTGTTCGTTCGTTCATTCATTCATTCGTTCATTCGTTCGTTCGTTCGTTCATTCATTCGTTCATTCGTTCGTTCGTTCATTCGTTCATTCATTCATTCGGAATCCACTCCACCAGATGAAACCCCTCCTACACGGAGTTAAGACCAGTGGGGATAAAACTGAGGCTAGTTTTGTCTAAAAGGAAGCAGGAGAAGGAAGTAGTTTGGACTCCTCTGCAGAAGGGCAGGCACAAACCCAGCCAAGCGGGGCCAGTGAGGGAACTCCAGAAGCAGAAGTTGCTTCTAAGTGACTGACGCGGAAGGCCCCGCACTCCGGAGCCAGACTGGCCCGTGCCCTCCTCAGGGGACACTTTGTCTCGGGCGCCCACAGGGCCCCGAGAACCCACCAGTTTGTAAGGTAAGTCCTGGACTGTCAGCAGGGGACCAAATGAGGACCGTCTGTCATTTCCAGATAGACACAGTGCTGCTGGGTGGCGGTGGGGGTGGGGTGGGGGGTGTGGCCTCGGGGAGCCCAAGTTTCGTTTTGGCAAAGTGGGGTGTTCGGAACTTTAATGGCCACACCGGCGAGTTCTCTTGGGTCAAACCCATTACACTGTTTGCAGAGAGGCCGAGAGGTTCTGGGGAGCAGGTGGCATTGATACCGGACCCCCACGATGCTTTCCCCCTCGGGGCCACGAAAGTGAGACCTGTATCTTTTACAGCCCAGTGGCTGGCCGCAGCGCCTTGCTTGTGAAAGTGGAAAATTTACCTCCACACGGGAGTGAAACTGGACTCTGTTAGCCTGCCCCCACCCCGAGAAAACGTGAGAGAAAACGTGCGGTTTAAATAGCGTGAGCAGGAATTCTGTAACACTGTGTTTTGTCTGAGCACACTCTACGCCAGACATGTACACAGATAGACCAGGAGTCTGTAGACCAGACAATGGGTACTGTAACTTGTGGGCGATTTAAAGAGTTTTCAAGGGTAATCTTGAAATCATAATTTTTAATAATTACACTGCTTTTTTCCCCTGTAAGGGCGGAGTGTGGAACCTGCCCCTGATACCACCAGCTGCCCTGTACGTTCACCCTTTCGTATGTACTGTGGTTTGCTTCCTGTCCACGTTTTCTAACTTAGTTGGTTGAGATCTGTCTTATGTCTTTAAAATCTGTGCCTGTGAAGTCTACTTTTGCCCTCAGTGAATTAAAATAGACAAATCCCTGTTCTCTCGGATTCCAGATACCATGACTCAGGGAACACACGGCCCCGCCCCGCCCTGCCTGCCCCGCCCCACCCCACCTCGCCCACCCTCACCCCTGGACTGCGCCCTGCAACCTCCGGTCTCCAGCTCTGTTCTGCCTGGCCCCGGGCACTTCACACCTAAGGCCAGAGACGCCGGAGATTACCTTTCCTCTCCAGGTGCCCCCTGTCTACCACCATTGGTCAAGCTGGAAGTCTCCGAGCAGGCGTTGCGGCAGTGCAGCGCAGCTGGGGGCTTGGGCTGGCCTCCTGCCCTGCCCGCTAGCAGCCGGGTGACCTCAGGCAAGCTGTTTGACCTCTGCGGGCTCTGTGGCCGTACCTTGCGCACGGAATGGAGATTGTGAGGGTGTTACTTCGCACCAGGACTGACGAGGTCTTGTGTGGGCTTGGCCCAGAGCAGATGCTTACAAAACCGGGTTCATACTATTACCTTTGTCATCCTCAGCCCTGCTCCTCACCCCCCTTCACGTCCTCCTCTCCTCCCTAAATCCCTGCCCCTCCCCCCCCGCCCGATTCCCCTCCGGGTGCAGCCAACTAACTCTCCAGGGGTTTCTGCCAAGACCTCCTCTGCACGCCCATAGCTGCCTCTGTGGCTCGGAGCTTCATTTCTTGCCTGGACAGAAGCGCTGTTCCTGGTCAGTCTTTGCTCATCGTGGTCAATCCCTCAGCCAAGCCCCCTGCCTGCCCATCGCCCCTATTCAGAACGGATGCAACAACTACTCTCTTTTGTGACTGTCCCCCCATATAAGTTATGTTGGCCTCGGAAATCCGCCCCCCACCAGCCAAGGCCCACTGCCAACTTCCTTCCTCGGCGAACCCTTGGTCGGCCTCACCAGTCTCAGAAGCATCGTCCGTTCACTCCACACTTTGGGTCCCTTGGGCCACAAAGCCCAGCCCACCCTGGACCCCTGGATTCCACCGGCCTCAGCATCATTGCCTGCGCCACATCCCTGGCCTGCGCCCTTCCGCTTCTGACCACCACCCCCCCGCCCCCGCTAAGGGGAAAGCCCACAGGGGAGACCTTTCTCAGTTCCTGGAATCGGGCCGTCTCCTCCCCACGCCGGCGTTCCTTCCGAGATGCCCTCCCTGTTCAGGCCCTCCACTGTCCACCACTCCCGCCTCGGCCAGGTCCTGCTACACGTTCTGTTCCGTACTCAGTCACCTGCTCCGTTATACTCTTGGCCTTTTATACCTTAGCATCAGGCACCCTTTTTTTGGAAACAGGTTTCACAGTTGTCGTGATACATTTATTTGTGACATTGGTTCATGTCTGTGCCCCCCCCGCTTCCCCGACTGTATATGCTCCATGAGTTCGGGGCTGGCGGCTCTGTACCCCCGGAGCCCAGCACAGTGCCTGGCGTGTCAAATGGATGAATGAATGAATGAGCCTTCCTCGCTAGGTAAGCTCCATGACTAAGCACAGTGTATGACTGAACACGTTAGAATCCTTCCACAAGTTTTTATAGCTGAAGAAATGCACGGTAACACCATCAGTTGCTTAACTATGCACACTGAAATAACTCACCCAAGTTCTTCAAACGCCTTTTGGGCTTTGGGGATCAGCATATTGGCAGTATAACTTGTGGCTAAGAACACGAGATTTTTTTGTTTTTTCAACTTTCCAGACCCCAAGAAACACTGGACGTGCTAATGGTCCCAGAGGAAGACAGCAGCCACAATGCGCAAAGTATAAGGTAGAGGAGAGAATTAACAGTATCAACACGGACACAGTGTGTCCGCCCATTGGTTCGGGGAAGCTGGAAATTAGCAGCTTGCATTAGTACCTAAGGTAACTCTGACTCTCAGCCTTGGGCTTTCGAGCTAACCTCTGAGTGTGCTGTCAGGGGACGGCTTGCTTAAAAACCTCCCACGGGAAGGATTTCCTAGTGGTGGGGAGGCTGGAGACGGGGAGGTAATTCCCTGGGTCTCTAATACACAAAAAGTAACTTTGTTTCCCGGTAGAATACTGTTTCCATAGAGGGTCTGATCAGGGCTCGCGAACGTCTCCCGCACCCGCGTTCGCTCAGGTATACAGAATACACTGTATCCATCCAAGCACTGTGAATGGCATTTCCTTTTATTTTTTCATTGAGAGGGAAGAAAGCAAAGTCCCAGTTGGCTTCCAGACCAGGACGCGGGGGAAGAGGCGTGGTTTTCAGTTGGAGACAAACCTCAGAAACTCGTCCCGCTTCTGGGGGTGGGGGGTCGGGGGGGGGGGCAGGCGGCTCTAACCTAAGGGGGGGGCTTGCCCCCCGGTCCTCCAGGGTGGGGTCCCTGGCAGCGAGTTTTTCGCTGGGACGGAGCGGAATGGGGGAGGGGCCCGGGGAGGCGCTGGGCGAGACCAGCAAACCAGAGCGCACGGGCGGCGCGGCGCCCGGGCCGCCTTCCCGGCCCAGCGGCGACTCCGGCCCCGGACAAAGCCCCGCGGGCGGCGGGTGCGGGCAGGAGCGGGCCGCGCCGGCGTCCGCTGGGCGTGAGGGTTTGAGCCGCCGCCGCCGCCGCCGCCGCCGCCGCCCTCGGGGAGCCACGCCGCGGAGCTCGCGCCAGGGGCGGCCGGCCGCGCCAGCGCCTCTGCGCCTGCGCGCGCGCGAGGCCCCGCCCCCCGGGCCGCGGCGCGCGGGGCCGCGCCTCCTCATGGCGGCCGCCGCAGTGTGTGGTATTTAGCGGGCGCGCGCGGCGGGCTCGAGGACGCGCGGCGCGGCGGCGGCGGCGGCGGCCAGGGGGGAGCCGGGGCGGCCGTTGCGGGGCGCGCTCTCGAGCGGCGGCGGCGGCGGCGGCCCGGAGCGTCCCGGCGGCGGCGGCGGCGGCGCGGGGGTGGAGGCGGCGGCGCGGCCCGCGGCGGCGGGGTCGGCGGCGGCGGCGGAGCGCGTGTGAGCCGGGGCCGGGGTCCGAGGCGCGCTCTCCGCCCACAGGTAAGCGGGGCCCGGCGGGCGGCGGGGCGGGGGGGGCCGCGCGCGGGGCCGGGCGGCGGGGGGCTCGCGGGCCGGGCGGGGGGCGGGGGGCGGGCGGCGGGGCGCGGCGGCCCCCGGCCCGGCGCCTTTGTCTGGGCCCGGCCGCCGCCGCCGAGCGCCGCCCCCCGGCCCTCCCCGCCCCTCCCGCCCGGCCGCCCCCGCCCCCCCGCCGGGCCCGCCGCCGGGGTCGGCCGCGCGGGGCGGGGAGGGGGCGGGGAGGGCCCCCGCGCGCCCGGGGGGCGGGCCCGGCGGCGGCGGGGGGCCGGGGGGGCGCCCCGCGCGGCCTTTGTTGCGCGGGGTCCCGGGTGCGCGGCCAACATGGCGGAGGTCAGCTGAGCGCGGGCCGTTCCCGGCCGTCCCGGCCCCGCCCTCCCCGCCGCCGCCGCCGCCGCCGGGCCCCGGGCCGCCGCCGCCGCCGCGCGCCCCCCCGCCGCCCGCCCGGCCCGAGCCTGCGCGGCGCGCCGGCGGGAGTGCGGCCGCCTCCCTTGTTTGTGTCGTCGGGAGCAGGTCGCGCGGGCGGGCGGCCGGCCGGGGGGCGCCGGGGGGCGGCTGTCAGCCCCGGGCTCCGCGGGCTCCCGCCTCGGGCGGTCGGGGGTCGGCTCCCGGCCCGCCCGGCCTCGCCACTCGGGCATGCGGAGCGCCCGGACCGCCGCGTGGAGTGAGTTTCCCCGTCCCCCGCCGTCCCCCGTCCCCCGTCCCGGGGAGGGGTCCGCGCCGCCGGTGCGTCCGGGTCTCGGCAGCCCCGAGCGCGGCGGGGCGGGGGGGACGGGACGGGGCGCGGGCTGCGCGCTCCGGGCGGCGGAAGGTGCACCGCCCTCGGCGGGCGCCGGTCGGGGCGAGCCGCTCCCTCCCGCGGGCGGCGGCGGCCCGGAGGCCCGGCCGGTGCCTCGGCTGCAGTCCCGCCCCGCCCCCCCCGGGCTGTGACCTTGGGCGAGGCGCCTACCTGCGCTCGGCTCGGGTCGCTCACCTGCGAAGTGGGCGGGGCGCGGCGCCCCCTGGGTGGGGGGCTGCGGGGTGGGCGCTGAGGGGGTCCCGGGGCGCGCGCGGGGGGGGGCTCGGGGGCGCGGTGCCCCGGGGCCGCGGTGGCCGAGTTAGGGAACTCGGGGGGCTGTCCTGGCGTGACGGGCGCGCCGGACGTGCCCAGGCCGGAATTTGTGAAATCACGTTGTAAATAAACCCTTAGTTCTTGGGTGTTTTTTTCCCTTTTGGTGCATTTGTTGTTAAAAAGTGCGAACAAGAGATGTAGACGGTGCACTGACAGGTGTTCCGAGATGCTGGCGTTGGGAAGTTTCTCCGGGAGGGGAGGTGGAGAGGTCCCGCGCTGAACGGGCCGGGGTGACCGGGAGGAGGTGTCCTTTGGGCGGCGCGGCCCCGGGCCGAGGGGACCGGCTCGGAGAACCGCGTCGCTCTGATGCGGGGGCGGGGAGGGGGGGTCCCCGTGCCGCGGCCTCTTCCAGACGCTCCCGCAGAGCCGAGTGCGGCCGCTGCTGAGCGCGCCGGGCAGCGGGTTTTACTGCGGAGATCAGGGCCCAGTCGGGAGGGACGGACCTTGGTCGGCTTTGGGACGAGTAGATTTTGACTTAAAGTGGTTTAGACAAATTGTGTAATTTTGTTTTTGTTCTGGAAATTAAAGATACAGACTTAAGTGACCTGGGGTGGTTGGTTGCATCCCTCAAGTTTGCGCTGCCGAACATTTTCTTTTCTTTCACTGTATTATCCGGTTGGTCTAAATGACGCCCTTGGCATTTTTCCAGCATAATCTAGCAACATTTAATAATCTTTTTAAACCAAAGTGCAGTAAATTAATAGATACAGAACTTTTCTGGATAACTATTTCACACACTACAGATTCAGAAACAAATTTATTTCAATTCAGCTTAATATCAGTTGCCTCTAAGCTTTGGGAAATTTTTATAAATTTGATATAGAGCAATACTCTTTAATACTGCAATTAAGAATATTATAATCAGGCTAGATTAATTGGAGTTACAAAGGAAATATCTAACTATGGCACTAGTGACATGGTTTGAAGAATAGGTCTTTATTTTCAGCGTTTTGAAAATAGGTCGTACATTAGGAGGGTGACGCAGTGGTTACTAACTTTGCAAAGCGACCACGTATATGTTAGAGCAGTCGAGGTGCCCAATTTCTAAAAATTGCAGGGTTTTCCTTCTTAAAGAGATCTGTTACAGACTTTTGATTATAATTATAGATTTTCTGTACACCCATTGTAAAAGGTTTCAATTCTGGGTATTTTTTTGTGTGTGTACACCTCACTGCAAACATAATACGTGAAAACCTCAGACATAGGTTTTCGTGTCTACCACTTCCACTTCCCACACGCCCTCTCCAAAAACAACCACCAAACACACCTGAGGAGAACGTTTTCTTTTTTAGAATGTTTCTGTAGTGATTTCTTCCAAACAGCAGTGTTTCTAATGCACTTTAAATGCTGGTGATTTGGCTTTCCGCGGATAGGGTTCCCAGAGCATCGGCTGCGGACGGGCAGGCGCTGTGGTTTTTGTTCCCGGACCTCAGCGCCGGCTCAGTGCGTGCTCGTTAGGGACTGGTACGCTGCCTGCGCGCCGCGGACTCCCGGGTCTCTCTGCCTGCCGACCTCTCTAGACTCACGTGTCCTCTTGTCTGTAGGGCATATTTTTACGTTCATTTTTAGAGCATTTTCAGATGCACAGGAAAACAGAAGGCACTGAGATTTCCCACACGCCCCCTGTTCTCACTCGTACACAGCCGTCCCTGTTGTCGGCACCGTCCGCCGAAGCGACACATTGTTGCCGTCGGTGGAAGCGGTGACGCTCACTGCGCGAGGTCCGTGCTTTAGTTCTGGTTTTCTCCTGATGTACTGGACACTGCGAGTCTGGACAAACGTACAATCATATCTATCCACTTTTATGTCCTAAGGCACTCCAAATTTACATGTCCACTTTCCCAAGTGTCCAGCCTCTCACCCTCTGTGTCCAGTCCGTGGTCAAGCCCTGGGTTTTCTCCTGTCTGGTTATTTCCAACTCTGTCACTGCTCTGCGGCCTCTCCCTTTCTCTCTCTCCTCTCTCTCCTCCTCTCCCTCCGTCTCTCATTTTCACGTGTGCATTCGTCATTCTCCTCTGCTTTCTGAGTCGTCTGCCTGCTTTCGGTCCTTGTCCTCCGTCTCGCCCTTCCTGCTGCGGTTCAGGGGAGCGGTCTGCTGCAGGTGGCCCGCGGGGCCGGCAGTGCGAAGCTCCGAGCTCCTGAAGTGGGCAGGAAGCACACGCACCCCCCCCCCCAAGCCGGCCGTCTCCCTGCTTCCCCACCCTTCTCAGCTGCGTGCTTGCAGTGCCTGTGCGCCGTGTCGTCCCCTCCCGCTGAGCGCTGCGGTCTCCGCCTGGCTCGTCTGAGACGTTCTTTCTGGACCCCCGCCGAGAGCGGGTGTCACCTCTCCGTTCCCATGGCGCGCTCTGCGGTAACTGTACCCGCTGTCACGTGCATCCCTGAACTGTAACGCTGTCTGTGCTGCGCGCCCCCCGCCCCGTGCCACCAGCCCGCGGTCTCCGTGGGGCGGGGTTCTGTTTTGGTCACCCGTGCTGGTCTAGGGTCGGTGCGGGCTGCAGTCGGTGCTCGGTGCGGGCTTACTGAGGGGCTGGCTGAGACCCCCGCCTTGTCCTCAGCGTGCTCTCCGGCTCTGCCCTCCCTCGTGTTTCCCCGCTGCCCTGCCCGGTCCGCCTGGATTCTGTTGTGTTTCCTGACGTCTGTCCGTGCTTGAGCCCCCCCCCGCCGTTGCTCACGGTTGCCCCTCATCTCCCGAACGCCCGCCTGTCTGTGCCACCTCGGAGCCCGGCTGGCCCCTGCAGGCCTTCGTGTCCGTCGGCGCGCGGGCAGTTAGCGAGGCCGTTGCCCCTCTCCCCGCATCCCGCTGCCGGAGACGCAGGCGTCGTGGTGAGTGCTGAGGGGACACGTTCGTGAGAGCTGGACCTGGCGGACCTGGTCGTGTCTCTCGGCTCCGTCAGGCTGTCCCTTTCCGGCTGTGTTGTGACGCCGGGCCCCTCGCCGAGCAGGGTGCTGCCTGCTCTTGCGTGCGGAAGCACGCCGCCCGATGCGAAGAAAGTGCCTCTGGTTTTTAAAAACTAGTTGTCGAGTAACTTGCGTGCTTTCTCCAAGTGACTGCTTACAGTCTGGTGATGGAGACACGGAACGGCAGCGGTGACATGTGCCGTGAGGGGTCGGCAGGGCTGGCGTGGAGAGTGGCAGGGGCAGGCGGGGGCCTGTGGCGGAAGGGCCAGGAGCCGGCTGGGCCTGGGAAGGGAAGGGAAGGGGCCGCTGACGCCTCAGGTTGAGCAGGTGCAGGCCCCGAGGCAGGAGTGACCGGGACTGTTCGCGGCGCTCAGAGAAGACAGCGCTGGCTGCTCGCACATGAGGGTTCGGCTGGGCAGGGCCGGGGAGGCACGTGAGTGCAATTTTAAGGGCGGTAAGGAGCCGTCGGAAGGTTCTAGTCGCAGGAGGAACAGAACCCTCTCCTAGCTTCGGCACTTGCGCTCCTGTTGTTCGGAGAGCCGACCGGGCGGGCGTCAGAAGGCCGTCTCTGCGGTCAGGCCCTTGTTGAGTGCGAGCTGGATCAAGGCCGTGGCGGTGAGACTGCAGAGGAGTGGGTGGACCCGGGATGTGTGTTGGAGGCAGAATTAGCAGGGCTTCTGGCGGATTAGGTGCTAGAGGCCGGGGGAAGGAGGAATTAAGTGGGCTCTGGCTGCAGCAGCTGGGTGGATGGTGGTGCTGTTACCCAGACCGGAGAGACTGCGGGGGAGGGGACAGCGGGACGGCAGCACCGGGCGGGTCGGCGGGAGGCGAGGACTCTGAGAGATGTCCAGGTGACACAGCGAGGCGGAGGCCAGCTGGGACGCGGGGCGCAGGGGCAGGCGGGAGGTGGACGAGCACGTTTGGATGTTGGAGGGACCGCACCAGCGGAGAGAGGGAGCGGGCGTGAGGCCAGGAGGGAGGGTCAGTGAGGGCGTGGGGTCTCGAAGGCGAGGGGACAGTGCCCGGGTGCCGGTCGCTTGGGAAGGAGGCGGCAGTCGGCACCCGAGGGCTCCCGCTGCGTTGAGGCGGCGTGGGGGAAGCCGCCCCCTACTTAGTGAGCGCCCTGCCGCGGGAGGTCGCAGGTGCCTGGAGAGGCCCCCTGAGGAGCAGCGAGCAGAGGGGACCGGAGGGGAGAGGTGCGGGACCACTGGTCTTCCGGGCGACCGCCGGCCGCGGTCCTCCGCCCTCCTTCGCGCGGGGCCAGCGGCCGTGCCTGCGCGCAGGGAGGGGCTGCCCTCCGCGCGCCCGTCTCCTGCGCCTGCGCAGTCTTCCTCGCGGTCCAGGCCTGTCGTCATTTAGCTGCTGTTTTGCTTTGTTTTCTGTGTGCGCACTGCTCATGGCACCTTGCCGGCCTTACCACCCGCCCCCCGCCCCGTCGGAACGGACGCCGCCTCGCACGGCCTTCTGCCCGCAGTGCGCCGCGTCATCGGTCACCGTCCTCCGTGCCCCCTGCGCCCCCTCGGGGGCGGTCGCCCTCCCCTAGCCCGCCTGGTCCCCGCCCCCCCGGCCCATTCCCTCGTGTCCGAAGAATGTATCCGCCAGGAGCTCCGCACCAGAGGACGGGTGTTTCTGAGCCTTGCGTCATCCTTCTGCCC